TGAGGTAATTTGACTTAAACTGCTTTAAACAGCGAGAAAGAGTCACGCTGAGAGATCTTTATCCTCCAGCACCACATGAATGTAAATACAGTGAGTGACAGACTGAACTGTGTGAACGGCACAACTAGAGATGGACAGTGTTGGTCATTAACACTTTTAACGCTACTGTAGCACTAGCAGTGGCGAGGCTGGAAATCTCCAAGTGTGTGGATACTTGTGAATTAGGGTGAACCCCTATTCTGTGCCTCTATCCAATAATATTATTTAGAATTATGTCATTGTGGGTTTTTGAATGAATGAACACTTTCAGCTATTTATACTAAATATAAATAGTTGGATCCCTGAGAAGGGAACGAGACGCTGCGTCTGAAGCACATGTGGAACTGTTCCAATCCTGATGGGCGCAAAAACGATACTGGTAAGCTTCGCCCCCAAAAGGGGACCAGTGGCGGCTGCTGGTCTTTCAAAGAGGGGAAGCTCATTTTCGGCCTACATCATAAAAAATGTCCATTTATTTATACGAATACCAAGAAATAGGTTGCAGCAGTTTGTCTTTCGACTACACTTGCAAAATCTGCAATGGGACTGAGGTCGAATAGCTTCAGCATCAGAAAGGAGATGCAGTCTTTCGACAGACCCTCCAATCATCACGCAGAAGAGTCCAGGCCAGCCCACTCCTCCATTCACCCCCAGAGACGCTGAGCGTCCGTGGGCGGGACATAATCGCAGCATTTATCCAATGACCGTCTAGTTTTGAAGCACTGGAAAAAACTGTTCAAAAAAGCAGCCCCATTGAAGTCCGTGGACGCCAGGCTTCAACAGGGAAATGCACTGTGCCGTATGAGAAGGAGATCGAGTCAGCCGACCTGCTGTATGTAGCTGATTCTGAACGAACTCGTCTTCCAGATGAACGTGTTCTATCGCATTTTTAGTCAATAAAATGTTAACACAACAGTACATACTTGACCATTAATTTTTTGACATTATAGGGGAAGCCAAGCTTCCCTTGCAGTCTTAAAGAAATCTCCACTGAAAGGGAACCGTAGGAACTTACTTTGTTGAGGTTGGATGGAAATATGAAAGTATATGTCCTTTAGATCTTGTCAAACCAGTCCTCAGACCTGATTTGAGTCCCTATAAGAGGAATCGTCAATATTTTGAACCTGTATCTCTTCAGAATATGGTTTAACTGACGGAGATTTATGATGGGACTCGGCCCTCCAACCTTCTAGAACGCGGACTCCCTCTCAGGAGGAGGAAAACGCTCTATGGCCTCCTTCACCAAGAGAGACTGAACCTCTCGTTCCAGCACCTGAGCCTCGCCGCCGTGCGCCATCAGGATGGGAATCGTTGCACATGTGCTTCAGACGCTGTCACGCTGAGCGTTCCCAGTAGAGTCGACATCATTACAAAATGTAAAATATAACTATAAATTAACCAAACAGATCTGTAACAGGCGCACAATAAAATAACGTTATATGCATTTGTTATTAGTAGCTTTGATTTCCCCCCAGGATTATACGATCTCAATAATTTGCAGAAAGGTGGAGCTGGATTGGAGGAGGGATGCCGAGAAGTAAACCGCGCTTACATCCACCATATATTTAACGTTAGAGCTGGCGCCGCCATTTGTAAATTGAATGTGTCTGACTTCCGGTGTCATCCGCTTCCAGTTATTTTTTAACAGATTGTTATGCAGCTTGCTATTGCAAACTGGTATTTCTTATCATGTTATATTAAAGGTACAATATGTAAGAATTTTGTAATAAAATATCCAACAATCACTTGCACAGTGTGATACATTTCCTGCAGTTGTGTACTTACAATATCCCAAAAGTCTCCAAAGATTTTTTATTTCAGAGAATTTTCAATTTTAAATACGTGGCCGTCCCGGAAAAAAATGTCGCCTGTCAATGACGCAATATCCGCGCTATCCTCGGTTTCCGTTCGTACTGCCATAACCATGACGTAACCATGGCGACAGACGTGGACAGCTGCGTAGTGCGTAACGTTTAGCGGCACGCAGTTCTTGTTTCGTTCAAACATAGACCATGGCAAGCAGACTTTGGGACAAACAAGGAGAACTAAAATGAGGATCAATATCAGCGTGGCGTTTTGAGATGCCGAGAGCTCCACGTCCGCGACTAACTTGGACTCGACAGAGCTTCACGAGTCACGACTTGAAAGCTTTATTAGACAGGTGAGCAAATGTGCATAAAACAAATCAATGCTATATAACGTTAGCTCAACATGATGAAATGTTAGAATATGGTCAGTATGTTATTCTAATGTTGATCTAGCTCACTGCTAGTTTCGTATAGCAAACGAACTAACACGTAGTATAACATTATAACTTTCAACACACATTTAAATGTCGTTTAGTGTGATAGTGTAACGTTAGACCAAGTGAAGCAGCGCTGCGTTACCTCACACGTTTAATTCGTCTAATAAACTGACCTGTGTGAGTAATGGAGCACTTGCGGGTAGTTCGGTAAAATTAAATGTCCTTATTCTTTTATATCTGCGGGACTCGCGTGTGATATCTGTCTCTTTAGCAATCGCAACCTGCGTCATCCCACTGTAATGTTAAAAAACATGAATGTTTGCACTCATCCATAAACATTATTAGATCCATCAGCTTGACAGCAAGTCCCATCATTCAGCTCATCACTGCGTCATCAACCTACGCCTTTGTTATTGTAGGAAACTGCGCCCTCTTGTGGCGAAAAAAACTTACATATTGTGCCTTTAATGTCATAATCATAAACAAACTGGTTTGTAGCGCAAATAGTTTTATAATTTTCGGCACTTTGTTAATCTTCTAGTTATTTATCTATAGCAACTAATTAATAAGAAGTCTCGCACATTCACAAAAAATATCTTGCAAGATGGTGGATATTATTGCTTAATTGATCAAGTTAACGGGCTCCCTTTGAATCTTCATTTGTCGCTCCATTTTTTGGCTGAGACAATAATCAAACACTCTTCACACTATCATGTAGCTTTTGGATTAGTTTTAGCATTGGTTTGTAAAATGGTTCATTTCAATTATTCAATGAAACTTATTACTGATCTATCATCCAACAGAACTTCCCAGAAGTCCTTCTGTTTTGTAGTCAAATAAATCCTTAAATACTGCTCTTTATCGTTGTTTTTGATTCCATTACGTTTCAAGACTTTTCAAGTACTTCAAGTTGAATATTGTATTTCCTTGTTTGAAACCCTTTTCGTTTTGCTGCCAGATACAACATACCTCCAGAAAACCAATCATTTATACAAAACTGTATTAATAATCATTAAAATGAATGATTGAGTCGCATACAATCAGAAGTGTTTGTGAGTCTGTGTGAGAATATGATGTATGTCATCTCCAGTGTGTGTGTGTGTGTGTGTGTGTGTTCAGACAGACAGGATGAGTGGGGTCACCTGTTCTCAGTCTCACAGAGTTAGCGCGGCTGTCTAACCCAGGCACGCTGTGGTGATCTGACAGTAATCCGAAGCCACTGCAGTGCGGAGTGTGTGTTACATTATCTGTCTTAATCCGGTAATCCGCGGACACACAGCTAATCTCAATCCCACCCCCGCACACACCTTCCTCAGTAATCACTCTAATGATGGACCCCGGCAACTGATCCCAGCAGCGCCGCCCCTGATTGACACACCTTCCCTCTCTCTGTGTATATGTACACACACACACACACACACACACACACATGTACGCGCACACACACACACACACACACACACAAGCACACACACCTCCCAGGCAGCTCTCATTAATGAAATTCACAGCCCAGGGCGAAACACAAAGCAAACATATGTTCAGCAAATATGTGTGTTTTGGTCTCTGTGTCACTGTAACTGGGAGTGTTTAATAGAGTCACTGGTGTGTGCAAGTCTTTGATGTGATTGGTGTGTTTTGTTACCAAAAAACAAAACAAAAACATTTCTTTACAAAGACACACACCTCTCATCCACTGCCTGGCCTGAAACTGAAAGCTCAGCCAAACCATAAGCTGATATGACAGGACATGAATATGAGAGAGAGAGAGAGAGAGAGAGAGAGAGAGAGAGAGAGAGAGAGAGAGAGAGAGAGAGAGAGAGAGAGAGAGAGAGAGAGAGAGAGAGAGAGAGAGAGAGAGAGAGAGAGAGAGAGAGAGAGAGAGAGAGAGAAGCAGGTACTTCTGGTATTAAAGGACGAGTACAGCCAAAATAAAATGAAGATTCTGTCATCATTCACTCACTCTCATGTGGCTCTAAACATTTATGGCTTTCTTTCTTCCATGGAACAAAAAAAGAAGATATTTAGCAGAACATTTGTGCTGCTCATTCAGGTCAAGCTTCAAAAAGCACCATACAGTAGTCCATTTGACTTGTGCTCTATACAATTGACTTGTGTGATGAACTGAAATTTAAGCCGTTATTCACTAAAAATATTCTTTGCTGTAGCTCTCAAATCTCTTTCATCCATACAGAAAAAGAAGTATGTTCAATTGTATTAAATGTGCACTTATAGTGTACTTCATAAAAGTATATTAACTTAAGTCCTACTCTAGTGGTTCCAAAAAGCACTCTAAAGTTCAGCTAATTGTGTTTAATACAATTTTAAACTATAAAACATTTTCATTTAATTGCAAACAACATCAAGCAACCAAGAAAATATATAAGTATATTACTTGACTACTCTTTTTAAAAGAATACTATTGTACTTTTTTTCACAAGGGATTCTTTTGTGTATTCAATCTTTGATTTCAGTAATTATCTAGTGTGTGACCATTGGTCATGCATTCACATTTTATGAAAAAAATAAATAAAAATTCTTTCTTTTTGGAAGGAATAAAATCAGTTTAGAACATCATGAGTAATAAATGTGGAATAATTTGTATATCTGTGTTTTTTTGGTCAGTGTAAATGTGCGCTTGTGTGTGTGCATTTGGGACTATGAGAATGTTGTAGGCACACACATGCGAATGTGTGTGTGTGTGTGTGTGCGGACTCACCTTGCTTGCTCAGTGCCGATCGCCCCTGCAGCCGGTCTCTCTCTCTGCTGTCACTCAGTTTGTCTGTCTTCAGCACAGACGCGTCACTGGAGCTGTCAGACACAACCTGAAAAGAAAATGCACACACACAAACACACACCCACGTCAACAGAAAACACATCAAGAAACAAAGCGCACAAATACAAACAACCACATCTTAATGAATAAAACAGCAGCAGTCTTTTGTGTGAATGAATTGAAGTGATTTAATAAGAGCAGGCTGGTTTTGAGCATCCATTAACACACAATGTTTTTGGAACAGTAAGTGCTAATGCACTGGTACCCGAGTGCTCTCTCTCTCTCTCTCTCTCTTGTCACGCTCATTGTAATGCAGGAAATAACGGAGGCCGTCCTCGCAGACTTCCACACACATTTAATTTTATCTTTGAATAAAAGAGCTATAGGAAAGAATTAATCTGCTTAACATTTCTAAGTACACCCTCCAAAGGAGCGGGCTGTTTTAATCTTACATATGCTCAGCAGAGTTACTGGCAAAAACTGTACGTTTTCTTCATCTCATCCTTTCAACATCAAATGGCGAGCAGCAAAAATTGGATCAGACTTCAAAGCTCAGCGATGTGCTCCAAGTCACAGAGTGGCTCTACTATTTCACATATTGAATTCGAGTAGGATATCAAAGTCCTAGCAAAGAACCTCAGGTCTTTACTGGAAAAAAAGGGGCTCCAACATCTGTAGAGAGAGCAGCGAAAAGACAAATCACCTCAGGGAGAAGTCAGCGTTTACTCTCTACCACGCTTTTCCAGCCTTTTGATTCACTCCTCTCTCTACCTCCCTGGGTTCCTCTCTCTCTCTCAGTGGAGAAGTGAATTCTCTATGAGGGAACTGTCTCTTTTGTCTCAAGGACCGCGCTGTTTGATCTGAGGGTTGCTCTGTGTAATATTCAGTGCAGTGAGGTGACAGTAGAGTTCATATTAACATGAGCCGTATCAGACGTGCAATTACAGGAATAGTTCACTCAAAAATGTGATTTCAAACCTGTATATTTTGAGGATGGTCATGCTGCACTATTACGTCCAATAAAAGAGTAAACCAGTGACCAAGGGCAAAAGGACAAGAAGCACCATAGAAGCAGGGGAAACCTTTATGGTGCTTTTTTGAGTAGCCCGGAAAAGAGCAACATGGCAGTTCTGCAAAACGTCTCTTTTTATGTTCCACGGAAGAAAGAAAATTATACATGAGAGTGAGAAAATGCTATTCCTTTAAATTCTGGAATGATCATATCTGACCTTTTCATCTGAGATGAGATTGGTGGAAGATCTTCTTTCAGGTGTGTATTCTCTGAGGACAAAAATAATCAGAAAACAATCAGAATTCCTCATTCCTCATTCATTTCTATAATTAAAAAAAATGTGGTTACATACAAGATGATGTCATTGATATCAGATTACGGCATTACGTTCTGCAATCACTGTGTGGTACTGAGAGGGCCAATGAACTCTAGTCTCATTCTATGAACAGCAAACCAGAAGAAAGGCCCAAAAAATTATGAGGAACAGCTCATGTACTCCACCAGGTCCAACTGCTTCCTCGCATTACGCTGTATATGCCATTGTATTTTTATTCTGGTCCTGGTTGTTATTCCACTAAATGATTGTTTATTTTACAAGTTGTATATTTTAATTATAAATGTTGTTGTTCATAACAATGCTGTGTATAGCAGTTTCTGTGTTTCTTATGAGGAAAAAAAACCCTTAAAGTCCCCTTGTGGTGAAAATCAAGCTTTTAAATGTTGTTTATATGTCTATGTGGTGTTTTTATATGCTTTAAGACAAACCATGTGTGAATTCATAAGTCAACACTATTACTGATTATTTTCTTCTTAAAACTGCAGTGAAACAAAGACAGTTTTAAAAACATGGTTTGAAATCGCTGGTGTTTCTGACGTCACAAACTACCTTGTAACCAATCAGGTTAACGTGTGATCGTCAAAGAGGGGATCTCTGAGCTGCTGTGAGTTAGTGGAGGGAGGGATCATTTGCATATTCATAGAACCGCATATATTAAATGAGGCAAGGGTGTAGAGTTACATTCAACGATATACCCGTGCCGCCATGCTAAGGGGAGTGCATGCCCACTGGCAGTGACACTGTCAGAACCAGCAAATTCAATGAAATGCCGGAAACCACTCACCCTCAGGTCACACTGGGCTGTCAGTGACAGCATTCCCTACGGTCACAGCCCAAGCTACATGTTCCACAGGAAAACCTCCATAAACATAGTTTAATGAAAGGCCTAACTGGGCCTGCTCAAGGGTCTAGGACCACAACTTCAAATCAGAAGGGGTCCCTTCTAAGGAATGTGGCTAGGGAACCCGAAGGAACCCCAGCCAGTCACTATTCGGGGACGTACCACCCGAAATGCCACCAAAACGGCCTGACCTGGTGTCACTTACATAGACACTTCAGTCTGGCCGCTTCCTGTCTGTCCGAAGACAGAGCCTCTGGACACTTGCCTTTAGGTAAGGCATCCAACCCAAGGGACTGCGAAGCTGGCAGTGAACCACTCGGCCCGGATCTCAGAGACGGGGTATCCCGGAGAGCATGACTCATCATAGTGCATACAACCCTTGCTAGCGAGGGGAGTTACTATGCTCGACCCACGGATCTACCCAGTGCTTATGTTTCAAAGCACTGAGGAGGCCTGAGAAGGCCTAAGGACTGATTTAGCTGGGAGGCCTCACGAGAGGCCCACGACCATCTGACCAGACTCAGGAGTCTTCATACTCATAGTGACCCTCGGTGAGGGGAGGACATGGTCCGCCTGGTAGGCAAACCAGGCTGTAGGCAGGATAAAAGAGGTTCCGGGAGGAAACCAGTAGCAGAGAATGAACACTTTAGTTATAGCCAGGGCGCAATCTCGCCTTCAGCAGCTGCCTGCTAAGGCCAGCTGAACTGATAGCAAGCGGCCCCTAGCTTCCTGAACCCAGCACCACTAGGAAACCACTCACAGGGAGGCCTGGTGAGGCCTACTACCTGATAACCACAGTATGTGAGAGCTCACTTTCAGGGAGGCCTGGTGAGGCCTACTACCTGGCAGCCACAATATGTGGGAGCTCACCTTCAGAGAGGCCTGGAGAAGCCTACTACCTGATAACCACCGTAAGTGGAAACTTCGCCTTCAGGGAGGCCTGTTGAGGCCTACTACCTGATAACCACAGTATGTGGGAACTCACCTTCAGGGAGGCCTGGTGAGGCCTACTACCTGACAACCACAATATGTGGGAGCTCACTTTCAGGGAGGCCTGGTGAGGCCTACTACCTGGCAGCCACAATTTTTGGGAGCTCACCTTCAGGGAGGCCTGGTGAGGCCTACTACCTGATAACCATCCTAAGTGGGAATTCACCTTTAGGGAGGCCTGAAGAGGCCTACTACCTGATAGCAATCTAAACAACTGGTTGCTATGAGCCCTGAATCTGGGTGACAGTCCCAGGGCGGCCTGCTAAGGCCAGCCAGTCCTGGGGCCCAGTCTCGGAGCGGCCTGTTTAAGCCAGCCTCCTGAAAGTCTTCTTATGAAAGAGACTAACTACCATGGACCAGAGAGGTCGGGGACTGAGCTACATGGTGGGCTGATAAGCCCTACTACCCATCAGTGAGTCTACTGCGTGAACTACTAAGGCCAAACCACCTGAGGTAAGCTGGCCTAAAGAGCCCTCTTGGGGGCTGCCCGGTCAAGGAGCCCTGCTGAGGTGTCATCTCATGGCAATGCTCTGGCCTCAGGGGAGAGTAATTCAAAAACCAGAATGAAATAAAAATTTTAACTCTCCGCTCAACCCGAGCCATCGTGGTGTGAGGTAGATTTATACAGAGCTGAGAATGGAGTACTCAGAACTACCCTGAGTCAACGGGGGAGTAACAACCATCTGCCCCTGATAATTTTAACAGGGTGCAGGCTTGCCAGTGGCTCTAGAGGTGACAGAGATTCTCCTGTGCCCAGCCTAGGGAGTGGGGCAACCACCTTTAACCCATCGTTTGAGCAGTAGCTCAGCAGGCTGAATGGAGGCAACTCTGGAGGCCCAAGTCCATATGCTAGCTCTGTATGGCGGGGTCTGGCAACAAACGATCTCTTCGCAGAACGAAAGATGGCCTAACCCTGCCCGAAAGACCCATAGTAATGGGGAGGCCTTACTGGAGGCCTAACCCTAGATCTTTAACAATCATGCCTCTACTACCAACCTGTGGGGAGGCCTTACTGGAGGCCTAACCCTAGATCTTTAACAATCATGCCTCTCCTACCAACCTGCATTACTCTTAGCACCCCTGAATGCAGAGAAGGGGGCGGGCCTTGGCCGAAGGACTCCCTTTCATGGGAGGAGGCTGTAATGTAGGGAAGAAAGAAGCCTAAGCTCACATAGTGAATGGCCAGAGGCAGAAATGCTTCAGCAGAACGCCTCCACTATCCCTAGTATAGCCTAGGCCAGCTTTTGGCCAGGAGCTACCCTGAGGTGGCTAATAGCCCAAGGGCTGACAAGAACTTAACGCTCCGCTAACATTCCATTACGTGAATGAGCGGCAGCCTCAAGGCTCTAATAATGAGAGGAAGCCTAAGCTATTAAAAGTCCTCATAACTAGAATGAGCGGTGGCGCACCCCGTGAATAAAAAGGAAGCCATAATACACTCAAAAAGAAGCCCAATAGCTTGTGCTTCACTATCGTTCTAGCCACATACAGTAACAGGGGAACTTCAGAGATTAAACTATGTTTATGGAGGTTTTCCTGTGGAACATATAGCTTGGGCTATGACCGTAGGGAATGCTGTCACTGACAACCCAGTGTGACCTGAGGGTGAGTGGTCGGTGCGGGTATATCGTTCCCCAAAGCGTCATCAACGCAGTGCGAGTTCCCTTTCGAAAGGGAACGTCTCAGGTTACAACTGTAACCTCTCTTCCCTGAGAACAGGGAACGAGACACTGCATCTTCCTGCCATGCCTTGGGGCCTGCCTTCCAAACAGTCCCTTCAGACGGAAGATGATTGTCATGTTTGCAAGGCACCCTCACCCTTTTATACTTCCAGGTCGCACGTTAATCATTCACACTAATGATTCACGGGCTGTCGCCGGTCAACATGATTGCCGTGATTTGATAGTGATTTCAAACACCTGTTACGCCTGAGACGTTCCCCAAAGCGCTACGATGCAGTGTGAGTTCCCTTTCGAAAGGGAATTTAAAGTTCCCTATCTGTCAGTCACTTCAACGAGGTGTCTTGATTGTTATGCAGTACTAGTCCACCCAGACTTGGTTTTCGGAGCTCATGCTCCTTGCGACAGCCCTTCCCTGGCTCTCACCCTGAGGAAGTGCCTCCTTTCTCAGAGATGGGGCACAATCTGGCTCCCGCGCCCATACCTCTGAAACCTCCATATCTGGCCCCTGGATGAGACGCAGAAGACTAGAGTGATAGACACCATTAATCAGGCTAAACGAACAGGTAAGTTACGGACAACAGGTCAGGTGTACCGCTTGCACACAGCACCTTCCCCTCCCCGAGGTGATAATATGCGCTTTTTTTGCCCATGTGAGTTCCCTGGACCGGCGAACCCTGAACATGAGTTTACCCTAAGCACCTTGACAGTTGAATTCGGTGAAGTAATTTGACGCCAGGCCCAGTTCTCGTGATGTATGCCCTTTTCAGGTCAGCCTGTATACTAGGGATAGGTGCTCCATATGTAGCGATTCCTTGATGGTAAACCAATGTGATGTATTGTCCACGAACCACGATACAGTTTCCCTAACGGTAAACCCGTTTCTTCCCCTAGGCCGAGCTCTGTCTGTGCAGCCAATCGCTGCGTTTGTAGTAGTTCCTCCTTTTTCAGGTAGGACCTACCGCAGGGACCTCTTTCCATGTGTGGTACTTCCCAGTTGGTAAGTCCATGTGATGTATTCTCCATATATTAACCTCCCTTAGGGCAGGATGTGGTCTCTGTGGTGTTCTTCCTCCTATCCAGGAGAAAGGGTGCTTCTCCAGTGCTGGTTTGCACAGCTGTGAGAGAAAAGGTCAAAAAGACTGTCTGAAGTGACCTATTCCCATGGTAAGTACTGTCCTCTCTGTCCCTGTGTGATCCAAAGGACTACATGGCTTACATGGGGCGTTAGGTTAATTACGTTTGATTATGTTGAGAGTACGCTTATTACCCGGGGATTGCCAACATCTGCACCGCCAAAACCTTGTAACACAGTTCAGCTGTTGAGGTAATTATTGCACTTATAACAACAAGTTATCACCCCATTAGTTATTCTAAATCTAAATGAACTTTCCTTCATTATAGTAATAATGAAGCAACAAAAGCAACAAAGCAACAAAAGACAATAGCAACAAAAGACAATAGAACCCATTATAACCAGTGAGGTTGTCTACATTGGATGCGGCACGACATGACAAATCCCCAACAGTAAACTGATGCCTCGTTCTACTTATGACGTATTCCAAGCACTTGCGATACTTCTCATTGGAAGGACAAATGGATTTGCAACGGTAACTTTGTCGCGTCCAGTGTAGACACGGTGTTTGATCGGCATCGGTCTACATGCAAAACATCCTGATGCACATCCAAAAATGTCATCAAAACGAATAAAACTATCCGGACATAAATACAAAAGATACAATTTTTTACTAATGTCTAATGATTTTATTAGGTCCAATGTTGTTTGGACCCCAACATACTTCAACATATCTTTCCGCAGATAAAATTCAGGCTTGAAATGACATGAGGAGTACTTCTACTTCTGAGATAATTCATTTGAGAAAAGACCCAGAAGTAAATTTCACATGTCTCCTCTAGGGTTTCAAAAGAGATCTTAATAATGTGCTGAAATTTGCCAAAATAAAATAAAAAAGCCAAACATAACACCTGATATAAAGTTGATGCTCAAATGAAACGTACAGATAACTCTCATGTCCAACAGCGTTCAGTGCATTAACATCACAAAATGTGTTGATGTATGCTGTTGCAGTTGTTCCAGACATGTGACTGCCACAACATCAATGACATCATCATCATGTTTCTCCGAGGCACCATCTGTGACATAACTATTTATTGCAATAACTCTGATGCGCATTGGAACATGTATGATTTAACTGCACAGACACACACTGACGTCAGCTGGTACTCGAACGGCGTGATAACATTCCTGTCAGCTAATGAGCATGTAGGTAGGTTTATGAACTTTACAAGGGAAAATTGGCCCAGTTGATGTCAAAATAAATCTATAACGTTCCTCTCCAGCTCTGATGAAACAGAATAGCAAAGTGTGAGGTTTGAAGTTTCACCACTGAGACTTCTGATATAAACAAGCATTGAGAATCCCCTCTGATAGGCCAACTGGCTGGAGGATACACACACACACACAAACATATACACACCCACCCAAAACACTGGGAGGGTGGATGAAAACTTTGGATTTTTTTTTTTAAACAAGTTATTACGATATGATTGTCAGCAATCTTTGTGCTACATAAATCTGAAAAAATAATAAAAATCTGTGCGCTGTACATAGGGTACAACTCTCATTTTAACTGAGATAAAGGTAAAAAGCGTCTTTGACAAAAATATGACACCTTGAGTTGTTGTGCAATACAATGTCGAGTGCATTTTGTGTCATGTCTGAAAAAACAAAACTGCACAAACCACCACACACACACACACACACAGAATTGTCAGAATTGCGTAATATAAAGTCAGAATTGCGTAATATAAAGTCAGAATTGCTTGATATAAAGTTGGACTTATAGAAAGTCAGAATTGCGAGAAATAAACTTTTCTCACAATTGCGAGTATATATCTCGCAAATCTGACTTTATAACTCGCAGTTGCAACTTTATCAGAATTGCGAGATGTAAACTCGCAAAAGTCAGAATTACCTTTTTAATTTTTTATTCTGTGGTGGAAACAAGCTTCCATACCAATTTGTGTCATGTGTCACAAACCACAACAACAAAAACACAAATTAAACAAAAAATTAAATCCATGTTTTTTTATGCATACTTTTACTTCAGTAGAATATTTTATCACTCTTTCCACCTCTGAATTTAAGGAATGTGAATGAATACAATGCTTGCATCTATGGGAACCTACTGTATAGAACAAACAGATACCTAAACACAAAAACATGCAAAAATACACTATGATAACATACAAAGGAAACAAATACAATGAACACACCCTCACTTACCCTGTTTGTCGACTCTGTTTGTAGTCTTTCCTGACTCTGTAGCCTCTGTATGCTGTAACACATATAATTGCCAAACAATGAATAAAATAACATCACATCAGAAACCAATTTTCTAGTATTATTGTTTATACAGTAGGAGAAAATCATAAGTCTGATTATTTAGAAAAATAACAGCACACATATTTAAGGTATCTGTAGTGGGTTTGTTCAAATCACTACTAAGTTTGAGCATTAATGTTTGAAAACCCCATTAATCAAAAAAAATTCCTAAATTAGTATGACTAATAGCGTATATTGCTTGGTTGTATCAAATGTAATGTTACAGTTTATTACTTGCATTCAAGCAGCTTTGATTTTGATTCTGTTACATACATTCAGATTATTTGATTCCTTTGATCATACACTAAGTGCATGTTTAGGATAAAAAACACAATGAGCTCCGAGTGAGTAATTAGTACTCTATAACACACACAAATGTGTGTAAATCTCAGAACAGATGAAAGCAGCTGCTCTAAAATGCTAAAGTAGTCATTTATTCCACTTTCAACAAGACGCCCAATTAAAAAAAACTCACAAAACGTATTCTTTAATCAGAGCAGAGGGTGCGAACGCAACTGTGTGAACTCATACTCACACACAGTGTGGGACTGTACAGTCTGTCACGTGTTGATGGGACAACATTGACCTCCATAGTATATAGTTTTTTTCATACTATGGAAGTCAATGTTTGGTTACCAACATTCTTCAAAATATCTTGTGTTCAACAGACGGAATAAATTCATACAGGTTTGCAACAACTTGAGGGTGAGTAAATTATTTCATTTTGGGGTAAACTATCCCTTTAAGTGTTGATTTAAACAGCCATAAGATATCATTTATAATTATATGACATATTTGCTTTGAATCTTTTATTGTATATCAACAAAACCAAATTGCATTGTTTCAGATGTAAATGGGTTACCAGTTAAGTTAAAAATAGCTCACACTCTCCTAACCACTTATGATGTAGTAAGACACTGTGAAGATTTTAAATAAACAACGAAACTATGGAACTAAACTCCATTATAACTTAAGTGGATATAACATGGTGTTCATCGTGTTATAAATCTTAAAAGTTATTACCACAAATAGATAAGTATTATATAATGTATTATAACTGTTGTTACAATTATTTGTGAGATGATACAACATAGTTTTATTTTTTTATATAAGCTATTATGTATGGAAGCTTGTTTCCGCCACTGAATAAAACAATTTAAAAGATAACTGCGACTTTTTATCTCGCAATTCTGACTTTGAAAAAAATTACTTTTTTCCCCTCAGAATTGCAAGTTTATATCACAATTCTGACTTTAAAACTCGCAATTACCTTTATTTTTTATTCAGTGGCGGAAACAAGCTTTAATTATTATTCATACATTATAATGGCTTAAAATACCCTTAGAATGCATTATAAACACAGGCTTCATAGAATGGCAATATTTTATAAAGCCTTTATATATAATGCATTAGTATTTTAATGCATTAATTATGTCTTGTAATGTATGGTCTCATCAATAATTATAACCACAGTTGTAATACATTATAATACTTATCTATTCATTGAACACACCCTTAGAAAGATGCAATAAAACACATGACAAACAACCAATTTTGGCGGTAACATGGAACCTGCTAATATTATAAAGCATTTTAACTTTGGTTACAATTATTTAGAGAAAAAATACTGCATTATATAAAGTATTGCCATTCTATGAAGCCTGTGTTTATAATGCATTCTAAGGGTATTTTAAGCCATTATAATGTATGAATAATAATTAAAGCTTGTTTCCGCCACTGAATAAAAAATAAAGGTAATTGCGAGTTTTAAAGTCAGAATTGTGATATAAACTTGCAATTCTGAGGGGAAAAAGTAATATTGCCAAGATGAAACTCAGAACAGAATGGTCACAGAAACTTCCCTACACTAAAAAAGGTATCATCTAAATTTCTAAATTTGACCTAAAACCTCAATTTTAGGTGTCTAGTTCATTTACTAGCCACACAATTAAAAAATAGCTCTTTAAGGTAACAAATACAGGTTACCACTTTAGTTTTTTTCCCATAGGTGTATGAATATCCTATGCATATAGAAAACGTTCCCCCACTGAAAGCCTTTTTTTTCTATTCTGCTTACTGTGCTCAGCATATTCTCTGCATATGGATCTCGAACGTTTGAAAGACGAGTGTTTATTTTAGAAATGCTAATGCGGCCCACCTCAAAGAGGATACACACCTCTACACAGCTCTGAACATGTGCCGTACACCGGGCCACCTGCACCAGTGGACATACTGTGAGCACAGAGCGAGAGAGAGACGTCTGCCAAAAAGGGGAACTGAAGTACTCCAGAAGAGGAGAGGAGAACAATAGCATCACTCCTCCCTCTCCTTCCTCCCCCTGGACCCCTGCCTCAGAAGACGAGAGAGAGAGGCGATGGAAACGCACCCGAGAAGGTTAATACGCCCGCTTTGATCTCCGCCAGGCCACACCGAGGAAGAATTCATTTACATTTCAGATGAAAAGGGTGACAGTATAAAAAGCCATCTTGTTTCTGGTATGTGAGAGTCTGTAATGGGCCGGGAATGTGAGAGAGGAAGTGGCAGGGAACCCCCAACACCCCCCATCTCTCTCTCTCTCTCTCTCTCTCTCTCTCTCTCTCTCTCTCTCTCTCTCTCGCTCTCTCTTCGCTCCTCTGTCGCCTGCACTGGGAAACAGATGAAAGCAAAGAGGGCTCAAAATGCAGCTTTCTACTGAAACATGGGGACCAAATGCTGTGACCCAAACTTTCAAAAGAGACGCTGGCTCCACACATTATTAATTTAGCAGCTCTGTTTCATGGGATTGTTTGTTGAGATCAAAAAAGGTACTTTGTGAAAATGCTGAAAATTATGATTGGAGGAAAAAAAAAATGCAAGTTGGAAAGATTTGGAAAGACAGACAGAGGGAGCTAAACGTATTTACATTTTTATTACTGCTGCTATTTATTTTTCTCTCTTATTTTTTTCCAAAAACGCAAGGTAACTTTTTTTTTTTAAATGTTTTTGAAAGACAAGAAATATTGTGGAAAAACTGCTACAATTTAAAATATTTGGATATATTTTAAAATGCATTTTATTTTATTTCTATTAGCCTCTATTTAGTGTCACATGATCTTTCATTAAATCATTCTAATATGTTGATTTGTTGCTCAAAACATATTCATTATTATTATTATTACTACTGTTAAAAACAGTTGTGCTGCTTAATCTTTTTTTCAGGATTATTTGATAAATAGACAGTTTAAAGGAACCTTTTATTGTGGCCAGCCTAAGGCACACCTGTGCAATAATCATGCTGTCTAATCAGCATCTTGATATGCCACACCTGTGAGGTGGATGGATTATCTCGGCAAAGGAGAAGTGCTCACTAACACAGATTTAGACAGATTTGTGAACAATATTTGAGAGAAATAGGCCTTTTGTGTACATAGAAAAAGTCATGAAAAATGGGGGCAAAAACAAAAGTGTTGTTTATAATTTAGTTCAGTGTAATTTCATTTATTTATTTTGTAGTGTTATTCTAGTTTGATTTTCATCATTTCTATTTTACTTTATTTTGCACTTTTTCATTGTTTGCAGCTAATATGCAAATAGGTTTACAAATGAGTGTTTCTTTTCATTCCAATAAATCAGACTACCCTGAAATTGAGAGAAAGAAAAGTATAGAGTAGAAATTCTCCAGGAAATATTTCCACAACTTTGTGACATGAATTGTATTGGGTTGAACAGAGCACTCAGAGGTGTGTACCTGACTGGATCTGCACAGCAGCCTGCTCGCGCTCTTTCTTTATCAGCTTCAGATTCTGACGGGCCATGTGACCCCTCCAGGCTGAACAGAGACAGAAGGAAAGAGATGATGTTACTAAAAACACAGAAAATGAGTTACTGGTAAACAATTTCTAGCGACCACAGCAATGTTTTACAAATCAGAGATTTTTTTTCTGTTGACCTAGTTCAACAAGTAGTTCAGATATTTACTTACAATATTTTCCCTGGATAATGAGTCACATACAGTATATGAAAAAGTAACTTTTAGTAACATTTTAATATATTTATAGTAATGATTTTGAACCATTGAACATTCATTTATCATAATATGATGTACACTACTGTTCAAAAGTTCGAAGATTTTTAAAGAAATTAATACTTTTAATCAGCATTAAAGGGGACTTATTATGCCCTTTTTCACAAGATGTAATATACGTCTCTGGTGTCTCCAGAATGTGTCTGAAGTTTCAGCTCAAAATTGCCCACAGATCATTTATTATAGCTTGTCAAATTTGCCCCTATTTGGGTGTGAGCAAAAACACACCGTTTTTGTGTGTGTCCCTTTAAATGCAAATGAGTTGCTGCTCCGCCCCCTTTCCAGGAGAAGGCGGAGCCTTTACAGCTCCTGCTTCAGATACTCCGGCAGCAACACAACTGGAGAATCTCACACAGGCAAAATGTCAGAAATGTCAAAAAGGGAACCATTTCCCCAATTTCTAAACCTCTGTCCAACCTGTATCTTGTTATCAGCCACCAAATTCAAGAACCTGTACGTCCAATTTTTCCTTGAAAAATCTTGTATCTTTCTAATGCATTATTGAGTGTTGTTTCCACTGCAGTTTTTTGTGTATGACCTGTGTTTACCCCTTTATTTGCCTTTTGTTTGGACGTTGTATGCCTGGTTGGACTGTCTTGCTGGATTGAACCCTTACATATCTTACGACCCTGTCCTTGTATTTGCCCAATAAATCCTCTGCACATGAACCCCGCTGTGCATCCCGAGTCTTTTGTGTTATAAGTGACTTCTTTGAAAAACATACACATATTTTGAAAGGTTTTGAAAGTTAGTGTATGTAATTCAAAGCAAGTTATTACATTATAAATGCAACTTTTATTGCAATTATATTGTCCTTGAAAATTATTTGTATTTTTTTTTAACCTGACTGAATGATAACTGCCCCGTTGTTTCGTCTCTCTCTCTCTCTGCGGTACCGCCGAGCCCCCAGCCAGCCCTTGGTGTAGGCCTGAATCAACACCACACGAGCGATCACTTCCCGCAACATCAGATTGAGCTGCTCCACGTGATAATACTTCAGAAACACCTGCAAAGACACGTACACACATCTATTCAGATGCAGGGAAGCATACTTATACCTCACAATGAACACTCTACCTTCATGTGTCTGTCCGAATATAATCGCAATCAATGGGTTCGGGATGAAAGAGGACACAAAAATGTAAGGAAAGAAACCATGACCTGGAAGTTTTGGTCTGACAGGCAATGCATAAAAGAGAAAGCTAGATTTGTTTTCTGTGCTATTACAGTTTTTCTCAAATGCTAAAACACAAAAGCCAATCCTCTAAATCAAATGACCAGTTGTCTAAACACATTTACTAAATCTAGCCATCATTTTCCAATATCATAAACACATTTCACATGAAGACACAATTCACAAAACACAATCCTCCGTTCTCATAAATCTTAACACATTTTTCCTTGCTAAAACACAAGTTGCAAAAGAACTCTGCTCATATTCTCAAATGAAAGCTCATGTGATGCAAAATGCTTGCCACAGTCAGCAATATTTGAACACAATGAACACACCTGGCGTCATTCATTACACACAACGACTCAAAATTGAAGACACTTGTTGCTAATGCTGTGACCACATGTATAAAAGCAAGTTCAGAGTGCACAGTTTGCTGAAGATTACAAACAAACACAATGGATGAAGGCAGAGTCAGGGGAAGAGGAATTCGAGTCAGAGGAGGGAGAAGAGCTGGCCATGGAAGAAGAGGAGCAGGCCAACGAGGAAGAGGAGAAGGTCCAGGAGGGAGAGCAAGACAACCTCGCACCATCATTACGGACGAGATGCGAGCAACAGTCATTGACCATGTCATTGTCCATGGCATGACAATGGCTGAAGCAGGACTAAGAGTCCGTCCAAACCTGAGTAGGTTCACCGTGGCCACCATTATCAGGGCATTCAGACAACACAACAGGTATTGTCAACACATGTTTCTTTCTTTAGAGTTGAAAGAATGCCACATAGAGGTGGGAGGGTTGCCATATTTACAGTGGCACAAGAAACCCTCATTGTGGATATGGTTCGTGAGAACAACCTCATTAGACTCCGGGAGATCAGAGACAAAGTCATTGCCGATAATGTCAACTTTGAGAGTATTGATGATGTCAGCTTGGCCACAATAGACCGAGTTCTCCGGCGCCAAAAGATGCGGATGAAACAGGTCTATAGGGTTCCCTTTGAGCGCAACTCTGCGCAACACAAAGACCTACGTTACAAGTATGTGCAAGTAAGTATACATCCATGTTCACAGTACAGTTAGTGGACATACTGTGTTGCTCAGTGGCCTACAGTACTTCTGGACAATACTGTGCTACCTGATTGACTGTTGTTCTGAACACCTGTGCACTTTCACATTTTCACAGAGGATATTGCAGTTGGACGCGATGGCTAGACCTCATGAGTACCTCTTCCTGGATTAGGCTGGCTTCAACCTGCAGAAACGAAGGCAAAGAGGCCGTAACATCATTGGCCAAAGAGCCATCACTGAGGTTCCTGGCCAACGGGGGGGTAATATTACTCTTTGTGCGGCCATGGGTTTGGAGGGGCTTGTCCACCGGCATGCTGTCCTTGGGTCTTACAACACCCAACGTCTCCTCACCTTCCTAGAGGAGCATTTATGTGATCATTTGGGACAATGTACGCTTTCACAGAACAAACCAAATCAGAGAGTGGTTCACCACCAACAGTAACCACTTTTTAAACGTCTGTCTGCCACCCTACTCCCCTTTCCTGAACCCTATAGAGGAGTTCTTCTCATCGTGGAGATGGAAGGTTTATGACAGACAACCATACACTAGAGAGAACCTCCTAAGGGCAATGGAGCTGGCCTGTGTTGACATCCCAGTGGAGGCCTTCGAAGGATGGATTCGCCATTCCAGGGCGTTTTTCCCACGGTGCCTGGCAAGAGACAATATAGCCTGTGATGTGGCCCGATGCCGCACAGTGATTGTGGTGTGTGTGTGGTGTGAATAAAGTAAATAAAAAACTTCACACCCTGATCATGTTTTCAAGAGTACTGTTGTGTGCAATAGATTCTGTTTTTGCATTGAGTTGTGTTACAGTAGTGTACATGCAGAATTTATACTCTTCATATGAAACTCACAAATCTAAATGCCTAATCCTCTGCAGAGATCTAAGAAGATCCATTACTGTAAAGTTTCTAAAAATATGCATTGGCAGTTATGAAACAAAGAACCTTCTCACAAATTGAGCATTGTGTTTTCAATTGTTTTGCTGTAGTGTGTAATGATGTGTATAGTGTTTACATTTTTGAAAGCTTCGAGCTGCTCTTTTGGTGTGAAAGTTTGAGTTTTGAAGTGAGAAGGTGTGGTTGTGTTTATGTAGCTTTAGAAAAGGGTGTTGTGTTTAGACATTGGGGAACATTGGGGAAACGTTTGTGAAATGTGTTTTAGCATTTGAGAAAAACTGTAAAGTATATATATTATATATCTATAGTAGACATGTCACTTAACCTTCTCTGAGACACAAAGTCAGACATGTGTACAGCTTGTTTAGTTAGTTGGACAATGTCTAGAGCTCTTCCTGCCTGATCCACAGCTCTAGGTATATATTTTATCAGACATCCAAACAGCTGTCAGGAGCATAATAAAAGGGGAATACCTGTCATACACTGTAAAAAAAATATGAATCATGTTTAATTCAATGTGTTACATGCAGATTCTTTGCCATTTCTGAGTGAAATTATTAATATTTTTTTAGTGTAGTAACTTTTAAATTACTACAAACTCTACCTTAGTCTTGCCCAGGACCCAGTGTTCCAGTTTGGCTTTCTGCAGTATAATGATGGCGTTCTCTTTACTGCCTTCTGGCATCTGATGGGCACGGAAGGCCAGATAGTAATACCTACAAGAAAACAAGATGATCAGACTCAGATTACACCAGTCAAAAAAGCACAAAAACAAACCTCAAACCCAAGCTCTAACTTTCATTCAACTTGACTGATCATATTGTAAGTTGTACTGGTGAAATATGTACCGGTAATTGTTTTGATGCTTTCTTTTATACACGTTTAATGTGCAAGTAAGATTTAAGGCAAAGGTTTGAATGTTTGAATGAAGAATTTTCACAAATGAACAAATAATTTTGAAGCCTAAACGTAGGCTATAATTATTTTATTTTTAAACACCACGGTCACATTACTTCAACGTCACCATCATGAAGCTTCCAACACCTCTTTCAAACTTTATTTAAAAAACATAAATTTTCCCTGAAAGTTTGGTTACAATAGTTTGCAAGACTGCGTTTATAAACACAATAAGGGGGGTAAAATCAGACTAGTGAGTAAATGAGTTTATCTGTTCGATGTCATGATTATTGGGTTATAACGTCCTGACAACCTTTATAGTCATTTCAAGACTAGTAAAAGCTTTTTAAAAAAAGCACAAATGGGGTATCACTGATGTATTTTATGCATTTTTAAATAAAACGTAAAAATATCTTGTTAACATTTTTAAATTGTTTTTTGGTTAAATGCCTGAAATAATTTTTTGTAGTAAAAAAAAAACAGATGATGTAAATAGCTAAATGCTAGGAATAGCTAAAATGCTAACTTGTTTCCATATTTTTGCCTAAACATACATCATACCTACCAGCAACATTCTAGATTTAATAATGCTGGGGCAACGATTAATCGGGATTAATCGCATCCAAAATAAAAGTTTGTGTTTACATAATACATGTTTGTATACTGTGTATAATTATTCTGTATATATAAATAAATATAATCGCATACATGTATATATTTAAGAAAAATTTGTTAATAGGCTAATCTAAATTATATATAAATATATACAGGCAAATATTTCTTAAATATATACATGCATGTGTGAGAAAATAATTATACACAGTACACACATATATTATGAAAAAACTTTTCACATGACACAAACTTTTATTTTGAATGCGATTAACCACGATTAATCGTTGCCCATTTAACTAAATATATTTAATATTTTATTGTTTATTTTGTTAAAGATTAATTTGACACCATTCACTAAATTAAGTATCACATACCGGTACTTAAAGGGATAGTTCACTTTGAAATCAATTTTTGGTATGTTTTAGCTTACCTCAAGGGCATCCAAGATGTAGGTGTCTTTGTTTCCGCAGTAGTTTCAATTTTAATATTTTTAGGTCAAACCGTTCTTGTCTGTCAGTCATATAATGCAGGTCTATGGTCACCACCTCAAAGAGCATGCACAGAGAAGTCCAAATTAAACATGATTTAATGACTCGTAAATGTAAGTACACATTGATGGCCTAAGACACGAAACGAGCATTTTGTGTGAGAAAACGAACAGTGTTTATATCGTTTTTACCTCTTGTAACCACAGTCACGTCCAAGTGATCTGAGGGCGCCGGCACTTCGGTCTGTGCGTTACAAGAGGTAAAAACGATATAAATACTGTTAGTTTTCTCACACAAACCGCTCGTTTCGTGTCTTAGGCGATCAATGTGTACTTACATTTACGAGTCATTAAATCATGTTTAATTTGGACTTCTCTGTGCATGCTCTTTGAGGTGGTGACCATAGACCTGCATTATACGGCTGACAGACAAGAACGGTTTGACCTAAAAATATCAAAATTGAAACTACTGCGGAAACAAAGACACCTACATCTTGGATGCCCTTGAGGTAAGCTAAAACATACCAAAAATTAATTTCAAAGTGAACTATCCCTTTAACATAGCAACTCATCATTTTATTGCAATTCCGTTCTACTAGTGGAGCAGAAATAACACACCTCTGATAAAAGAGCATGGTGAGACTATCTTTCTAGATCTCACTATGATAGCATCTTTCTGCCACAAAAAAAAAAACACAGATAGGTAAAGCGTCACCTGATTCTCTGATAAAACGATAAATATGGGGCTTTTGTAGCTTTGTTGTTATAGTCTGGGGGCCTTCAGTTATACTTCTGAATACACCTGCCTATAAATAAAATGGCATGCATTTCAGAAACGAGTCTCATCGAAACATCTGAAGCTTGCGGTTGATCCTGGGTATTTATTTACTCTGAAGAGGAAGATTTCAGCCTTTGTGTTTAAGAAAAAAAAAAACTGCCTTTGATTCCACTTGAACCGTGCTCTTTCATAATTATGCTCCTGATAGCGGTTATGTCTCTGGTAGAAATTACAAAAAAGGCTCTCCTTCACAACATCAGAGAAGGTTTTCCAGAAGAGATGCATCCATTTCTTCATATAGAAGCTGTTATTTTTACAAAATCAGTGTGGATCAGACAGGAAGAGCTCTAGACTTTGCACGACTAAGGACATGCAAACAGAACGTTCACAGAGTATTGCTTTTTCATGCGAACTGGTCGGGGAAGTCTGGGGAAAATACGGATAATCAGGACACTTCTGTGATCAAAAGGACGACAGGAAGAAAAAAAAAAAAAACCGTGCATTTCAGCGGCTCCTCTGAGTGTGGAGAAATTGTCTGGGATGTTTATGTAAAAGAGATGACCTACATGTCCACCATCTCACGGCCCACGAGAGAAAGAGATGGATGGGTTGAAAGAAAACGCAAAAAAGCGAAAAGTTTATGGAAAATGAAGTGCGATTCCCTAAGCCTCGGAAAAGTAAATTTGGACCATGAATTTCCTCTGCGCTGAGAAACTTTCAGCGGATTCACTCCGCCCCTTCAAAGTACCATTTCACCACTAATTACTCAACCAGAGTCTAATTTAGCATCACTTGTATTCTCAAAGGCTTAATGACCTATTATTGATAAGATGATGGTCTTCTTTCAGCACTATCAAGATATATAGATAATAAACCTGCGAGGAGCTTTAGGGAGCGATTCAATATGCGCTCATGGAGCTTTGATCTCTCTTAACTGTCTGTCTGTCTGTCTTTCTTCCTTCTTTTTATGAAGCCCAAGAGCTCCAGCTAATTAAATCTAATAACATTCCTGTAGTCCAACAGGAACACCCGGAATAATGTCATTTTGACTGCATATCTGATGAAGCCCGGAGTCAGAATGTTTTTTTTTTTTTTTTTTTTTTGCAGGATAACATAATCATTATGACCACCGTTGTTAAAGGATTAGTTTACTTTTAAAAAAAAACTTTTGCTGATAATTTACTCACCCCCATGTCATCCATGATGTCCATGTCTTTCTTTCTTCAGTCGAAAAGAAATTAATGTTTTTGATGAAAACATTCCAGGATTTTTCTCCATATAATGGAATTCAATGGTAGCCAAACGGTTCAAGGTCTAAATGACCGTTTCAGTGCAGCTTCAAAGGGCTTTAAACGATACCAGACGATGAATAAGGGTCTTATCTAGAGAAACGATCGGTCATTTCAAAAATAAATAAAAAAGTAAAAGTTTTATAGGCACAAATGCTCGCCTTGCGAACTCTCCTGTTCGAACTCGTTCATCAAAATGAACAAATCTTTTTTCGAGTCATTGACTCGTTCATCAAAATGAACGAATCTTTTTTCGAGTCAATGACTCAAAAAAAGATTCGTTCATTTTGATGAACGAGTTCGAACAGGAGAGTTCGCAAGGCGAGCATTTGTGCCTATAAAACTTTAACTTTTTTATTTATTTTTGAAATGACCGATCGTTTCTCTAGATAAGACCCTTATTCATCGTCTGGTATCGTTTAAAGCCCTTTGAAGCTGCACTGAAACGGTCATTTAGACCTTGAACCGTTTGGCTACCATTGAAGTCCATTATATGGAGAAAAATCCTGGAATGTTTTCATCAAAAACATTAATTTCTTTTCGACTGAAGAAAGAAAGACATGGACATCTTGGATAACATGGGGGTGAGTAAATTATCAGCAAAAGTTTTTAAAAAGTGAACTACTCCTTTAACATAACCTCTGTAAAATGGAGCAGGAAAGGTTCTGCGTGGTTTCTTTTTGACCCAAGTCAGAATCCCAAGTCTATAATATTATGAACTCTAGAGTCTCTCCTTCAATATGTCTAATTGATTTTATTGTCCTCCAGGTGAAAATCATAAGTCCAGTCACTTAACAGCACACATATAGTAAGTTACATGCCAACGTTTACTATTCAGGGCTAAAGGCACAGTTTATCCAAAAATGGAAATTCTGTCATCATTTACTCACCCTCATGTCGTTCCAAACCTGTAAGACTTGCGTTCATCCCTTGGAACACGAATGAAGACATTTTTAATATTCTCTCATCATTTGTGCCCATCCTTTGGAAATCCAACCAAAATTTCCAAGCTTCATAAAGTTAATAAAGATGATATGATAATCCATTTGAACCGAGTGGTTTATTCCAAGACTTCTGAGGAGACACTATTGCTTTATATGATGAACAGATTTAATTTAAGGCTTTTATTCGCATTTAATCATTGATCAGCACATGTACATAGAGTACATATGTTAAAACATGCCAAATGAAAGAATAAAAAAAAAAAATCTTAATTTGTGTCCTGAAGATGAATGAAAGTCTTAAAGTCCCCCTGTATAGTAAATCAGTTCATCCCTTTAAACTCATATTTGATCACCAAAATGACATATTTAAAATATTTCTTCATGCCTTAAAATAGCTTGTATGTAACTTACACCCTTGCCTCATTTAGTATACGCGGTTCTATGAATATGCTAATTAGCTCCGCCTCCACTCACTCACAGCAGCTCAGAGATCCATTCGCTTTCTCAACTTACTGAGATAAACGCTGCACAATGGTATCGTTCTTCACAACGTTGGACACATAACGATAATTAATATGATTAGCCTTTTGCTTGACTATGTTATCAAACAGCTTATAATGTGTTGCTAATGTTATACAAACTATGTTCCCGTTCTCAGTTTGCCTTCTAACGATCATCAGAAATGCTCTGAACAACTCAGAACGTCAGCGGAGAAAGGCATTTAGTTCATCATAACATCGTAATATACATCATACACCCGCTATATTGCTAAATCAACCCGATTTTTCATATCAACAGAAAAATATACCGGGATAACCTAGTTTGTTGTTATTGATATGCTAAAGCTCTCCGGCACGATGACATGATTGATTACAAGGTAGTGTGTGACGTCAGAAACACCAGCGATTTCAAACTGTGTTTTTGAGACTGTCTTTGGTTCACTGCAGTTTTAAGGAGAAAATACTCAGCAATAGTGTTGACTTATGAATTTACACATGGTTTGTCTTAAAGCACATTAAAAACACCACATAGACATATAAACAACATTAAAAGCTTGATTTTTACCACAGGGGGCTTTAACGTTTTGAAACTTATCCTTTAGGTGTTTAATCAGATCCCTAAATATGAGCAACATCACTAATTAAATGAACCACAAAATGAACAAAAATCCCATTTTAAGTAGATCTTGTAACATAAGCTAATGAAGTGCATAAAAAATTGAACTCAACAGTATTCTCCCTGTGAATTGTCAGTCGTGTTGTGTCATTCCTAATCTCTCTCCTCCCGCTCTCATTAGCAGCTTGTTTTGTGTGATCTTCTTTGTTTCTCAGGCCCTGTGGGACGAGCACAACACTCATTCTGTGAGTGTTATGTTACTCCGTGGATGTTTTCTACCTGTTAACAAACTCCTCGATGAGTATCCGGTGAGAATAACCCTGTCGGCGGATGTTGACAGTCTCTAGGATGCCGGTGTAACGCAGCTGAACCATTACACGCTCCTTATTGAATCGCAGAGCCTGGCGGTCATCATTGGGTTTGATGCAGCGGACGAAATGAGGTGTGCCGACCACCATCTTAGACAGCAGGTCCATGAGAGAGTACTGAAAGAGAAGATGCGTACACACACACACGTTGGGTTTTAGTGTTTTATGGGGACTTCCTATAGACACAATGATTTTTATATAGTACAAATGGTATATCCTATCCCCTAACCCTGACTCTACCCTTAAACAAAGCCCTCCCAGAAAAATTTCAAAAAACATAATTTAGTATAATTTAGAAGCTGTTGTCCTCATGGGGACCAAAAATGTCCCTACAAGGACAAAGATTTCTGGTATTGCCACCCAAAAGAAAAAATTACTAACCCTCATGTCGTTCCAAACCTGTAATATTTTCGTTTATCTTCGGTACACAATTGAAGATCTTTTTAAACTTTTTGATTTCTGTTCCTCCATTGACAGCTACGCAACTACCACTTCATAAAGTTCATAAAAGAGATTGTAAAACTAATCCATATGAATTGAGCAGTTTAGTCCAAATTTCGAGACTCGATCGCTTTATATGATAAACAGATTGAATTTAGGCTTATTCACATATTAACATTGATCAGCGAACATAAACAGAAGCTCGAGCGAACCTACTTGATGCGCGAGAACAAACCTCATTGGTTCTTGCTGAAGCTCAAACGCGCTGCGTTTAACACGAGAATGAACCTCATTGGTTCTTGCTGAAGCTCAAACGTGCTGCGTAACACGAGAATTGTCATGATTTCTTTCTTGTTTTACTCTTGTCTTGTGTGGACTTATATGTTATTTCCTGTTTTGCTCCATGTTCTTCTTTTTTTGATGTTTTATGTGGGTTGGCAAATCAACTTATGGTGCATATTCCCCTACTTACCAGGATGGAGTGTGAGGAATTATGATATCAAAGGAAAAATATTACTACTAATAATAATAATAATAAATTGCGCCATGTTTTGTAGTCTTTTGTAGTTTTTCTTGATTAGTTCCTGATTGTTCCCAGGTGTCTTGTTTGCCTATCACCCCTTGTGTATACATACCTCAGTGTTTCTCATGTTCTTGGTCTGGTGTTGTCCTATGTGGATGTTATGTGTGCTCTGTTAAGTTCTGGTTATCATTTGTTTGGAATCTTCTGTTTGTTGCCTGTATTTACTTTTGTTGTTTTGTTTTAATAAAATAGTCACTGCATTTGGATCCTCCACTGTCATTTCTGAACAGTCTCATAACCAGAATGAACCTCTGCTGAAGCTCAAACGTGATGCGTAACACGAGAATGAACCTCATTGGCTCTTGCTGAAGGAAGCTCAAACGTGATGCGTCACACGAGAATGAACCTCATTGGTTCTTGCTGAAGCTCAAACGAGCTGCGTAACACGAGAATGAACCTCATTGGTTCTTGCTGAAGCTCAAATGTGCTGCGTAACATGAGAATGAACCTCATTGGTTTTTACAGAAGCTCAAACGTGCTGCGTAACACGAGAATGAACCTCATTGGTTCTTGCTGAAGCTCAAATGTGCTGCGTAACATGAGAATGAACCTCATTGGTTTTTACAGAAGCTCAAACGTGCTGCGTAACACGAGAATGAACCTCATTGGTTTTTACAGAAGCTCAAACGTGCTGCGTAACACGAGAATGAACCTCATTGGTTCTTGCTGAAGCTCAAACATGCTGCGTAACACGAGAATGAACCTCATTGGTTTTTACAGAAGCTCAAACGTGATGCGTCACACGAGAATGAACCTCATTGGTTCTTGCTGAAGCTCAAACGTGCTGCGTAACACGAGAATGAACCTCATTGGTTCTTGCTGAAGCTCAAATGTGCTGCGTAACACGAGAATGAACCTCATTGGTTCTTGCTGAAGCTCAAACATGCTGCGTAACACGAGAATGAACCTCATTGGTTCTTGCGGAAGCTCAAACGTGCTGCGTAACACGAGAATGAACCTCATTGGTTCTCGCTGAAGCTCAAACGTGCTGCGTAACACGAGAATGAACCTCATTGGTTCTTGCGGAAGCTCAAACATGCTGCGTAACACGAGAATGAACCTCATTGGTTCTTGCGGAAGCTCAAACGCGCTGCGTAACACGAGAATGAACCTCATTGGTTCTTGCGGAAGCTCAAACGCGCTGCGTAACACGAGAATGAACCTCATTGGTTCTTGCTGAAGCTCAAACGTGCTGCGTAACACGAGAATGAACCTCATTGGTTCTCGCACCTCAAGTGAACATGCTTGAGCTTCCGTTTACCACAACTGATGTGTGAGTTGATGAAGTTGAGTAAAAGCCTAAATTAAATCTGTTTATCATATAAAGCGATCGAGTCTCTTCAGAAAATTTGGACTAAAGCGCTCAATTCATATGGATTTGTTTTAAGATATCTTTTTGAACTTTTTAAAGCGTCAAATGGTGCTTTTCCATGGTACGGCTTGGTGCGGCTCACTTTTGTGGTACGGCTCACTGTGTACAGTCCCTAGTATAGTACCTAGGTTCAAAGCGAGCCGTACTGACACGAAAATGTGACGTGTAAACAATGCAGATCACTGATTGGTAAGAGAGAATCGTCACTACAAATTTGTGACACGAGGTGCAGACGTTCCTCTCGCTGGTAGCCGATGAGCAGCAGTAAAGGCGGCACAACTATGATGATCAGTCTATAATCCCACCCACTTTGAAGCAGTACTGAACTGCAGTGGAAAAGCAAACCGAGCCAAAGTAAAGCGAGTCGAGCCGTGCTACGAAGTGGAAAAGCGCCTATAGTTGTAGTTGCGTAGCTGTCAATCAAGGAACAGAAATCTCTCAGACTTCATCAAAAAGATCTTCATCTGTGTCTTGAACATGAGCGAAAGTCTTACGGGTTTGGAACGACATGAGGGTGAGTAATTGATGACAGAACTTTAACTTTTGGGTGAACTATCCCTTTAAAACAGAATGATAATATACAATAATGTGATGTGCAGAGGATTCACCCTGAAATAAGACGCCACTGTCTGTCTCCTCATGTTAGTGGTTTCCTCAGGGTGACGCATCATTTCCATTGTGTCCACCTAAACACACATAAACACACTTACTGTAGCTTAGCCTGCATGCACACATCACCAATTTACAAGTACACAGAACTGGTCACATAGAACAACATCCACTTTAGCCCTAGGATGAATTATCGTTAACACTTTCAAATTAAAATAAGGTTTCCTTAAAGTCTGGTCAGGCATAGGAAGAGCAGATGAAGAGGTGGCTCTAAAAGCAGCCATATAACATTACTCATAAACAAAAACACAGAAGATAATCCAACATCTTGATCCAAGCAACGATCCCTGAGCACGATTGGTTTAATACTGCAAAGATGTTCTTTGATAATGAACTTCACACTTTCAACTGTTCCTAACAAGGACAAGACATGATGTGTATAACAGCCATCTCTACAACAGACCTCATGAATTTATCAAGGTGATGCATAATTTAGAGCAGGTCTATACCAGCAAAGTGTGTCTTAATATTCTATTTCATCTGAGTGCGTGGAGGCAGGTGTGTGTGTGATCTTTATGAAAAACGTCTGAGAAACTGAAGGGTTGGACATGAACCCTGACTGAGAGACAATCGAACTAACCCAGTGTTTTAATAACACATCTGTCCCGCTTCTGCTTACATGCGGGGCTTTTTACAAGAGCATCTCATCTGTGACTGAAGCAGTTTAAAAGTATCTGCAATATTAACCGGAACCAATTAATTGGGTTCTGTGCACTGGTGTCTAATTATATTTCTCTGATACAGCAGGTAGTCTGCAGGACTGTTTTAATCTTACCCGCAGAACGGAGGAAAAGGGAGAGATAATTATCCAGGGTGTTCCTTCATGGGAACAGTAACCCAGAACTGAAGTTTGGACATATTACTGCAGCATGAAGCAGACTGCCCAAATCCAGCTTTATGAAGTCCTCAATCTGACCTAGATCTAAACACATGAAAACTTCACCTAGGCCTGTCACAATCATTCATTTTCTGCTGATGATTAATTGTAATACAATTAATTGTGATTAACAATTTAATTCTGTTTTGTTTATCTAAATTACAGTGCAAGCCCAATATATTATTATTTAATTACTTGAAATAATTTATAATATAATAATAATAAAAATCATACTAAAATTGGTGCATATGATACATTTTAATGCAGTTAAAAATAAAATAATATAATATAATATAATATAATATAATATAATATAATATAATATAATATAATATAATATACACTCACCTAAAGGATTATTAGGAACACCATACTAATACTGTGTTTGACCCCCTTTCGCCTTCAGAACTGCCTTAATTCTACGTGGCATTGATTCAACAAGGTGCTGAAAGCATTCTTTAGAAATGTTGGCCCATATTGATAGGATAGCATCTTGCAGTTGATGGAGATTTGTGGGATGCACATCCAGGGCACGAAGCTCCCGTTCCACCACATCCCAAAGATGCTCTATTGGGTTGAGATCTGGTGACTGTGGGGGCCATTTTAGTACAGTGAACTCATTGTCATGTTCAAGAAACCAATTTGAAATGATTCGAGCTTTGTGACATGGTGCATTATCCTGCTGGAAGTAGCCATCAGAGGATGGGTACATGGTGGCCATAAAGGGATGGACATGGTCAGAAACAATGCTCAGGTAGGCCGTGGCATTTAAATGATGCCCAATTGGCACTAAGGGGCCTAAAGTGTGCCAAGAAAACATCCCCCACACCATTACACCACCACCACCAGCCTGCACAGTGGTAACAAGGCATGATGGATCCATGTTCTCATTCTGTTTACGCCAAATTCTGACTACCATCTGAATGTCTCAACAGAAATCAAGACTCATCAGACCAGGCAACATTTGGTCTGTAGCCTCTTTTACCTATTTGTAGTGGAGATGAGTGGTACCCGGTGGGGTCTTCTGCTGTTGTAGCCCATCCGCCTCGAGGTTGTGCGTGTTGTGGCTTCACAAATGCTTTGCTGCATACCTCGGTTGTAACGAGTGGTTATTTCAGTCAAAGTTGCTCTTCTATCAGCTTGAATCAGTCGGCCCATTCTCCTCTGACCTCTAGCATCAACAAGGCATTTTCGCCCACAGGACTGCCGCATACTGGATGTTTTTCCCTTTTCACATCATTCTTTGTAAACCCTAGAAATGGTTGTGCGTGAAAATCCCAGTAACTGAGCAGATTGTGAAATACTCAGACCGGCCCGTCTGGCACCAACAACCATGCCACGATCAAAATTGCTTAAATCACCTTTCTTTCCCATTCTGACATTCAGTTTGGAGTTCAGGAGATTGTCTTGACCAGGACCACACCCCTAAATGCATTGAAGCAACTGCCATGTGATTGGTTGATTAGATAATTGGATTATTGAGAAATTGAACAGGTGTTCCTAATAATCCTTTGGGTGAGTGTTATATAATATAATATAATATAATATAATATAATATAATATAATATAATATAATATAATATAATATAATATAATATAATATAATATAATATAATATAATATAATATAATAATTCCCTTATTTGAATCAAATGTGATTGAAATTTAAACAGCACAATTATTGTGGTCTAAAATAATTAGGATTAGATCAAATAACCACACTCAGACAATTAATCAATTAATCAAGATAAGCCTAACATGGTAGAGCCACGGACCCTCGTATCTCCCAATAGTAAGACCATCTCTGTTTATTCTTGTCATAGAAACGCATAATTCCCAGACCGAGGATGTGAACAGCTCCGGATAGAACGTAGTCCACGTGTTGTCATCTCAAGAAGACTACGGTAATTATGACATGGCATGAATGCAGCATATGTTTCTATTGCTAGTCTATTGCAGGTGATAGGTGGTCTATCTGGGGAAGGAACAATCTCATTTCATAGAGCATTTGATTGGACCAAAATCTATACTGCAAGATAAGAGTCATTTATATTGTTGTTCCACTTTTCAAAAAAAAAAAAGAAAAAAAAAGTGTAAATGTAAAATGCATATATCTAAAAGTGAATTTTGTAATCTTTTAGGTGTACATTAGCCTTAAATGTTTTCAAAGCTAAAGACATGAACTAAAAGCTTCAAAATTAAAACTTAAAAAGGATAGGATGTGAACGCTTAAGAGCTGCTTCTCAAAACATTGATTCATAGTCTGAGGATTATTTAAAATAAAAATTATTATAGGTTTAGATAGATTTTCGTCCATTGGCTCAAAGAAAGACAAAACAAAATGGAAAATAAAGTAGTGGAAATTACATCAGAAAATATGAAGATGGATATGAAGAAATTCTTACCTTTAACAGGTATTTAGGAGACTGAGAGGAGAAAGGATAGTTCAGACAGATAATAGATAAAAAGCACAGAACAGTGAAGAACAGGGCTCTTTTTCAATGAAAACATACAAGAGTTCAGAGGTTCTGGAGCAAAATAATTACATCACAAGCCTCATCGGTTGTAATATATTCATTCAGATTGTGTAGTTGATGCAAAGGTATTTTACATGTGCCTCATGAAGTAACTACTACTGACCATAAACGCGTCACATCTTTAACACAAACAAATATATATAAGTCTAATATCATGACTAAGCTTTGATTTAACAACAAACCTGCAACTTTATTGAAAAGATAAAACTGTCCAAAAATCAGAAAAGTAACTAAAATATGTGTTGTGTAAATCCTTTTTATCGGAATTGATAAACGTATAAAAAAAACAGAATACTTTTATGACGAACGTCTGAATGTGCAGAAGACAGTGTAAGCTCGGACCTTATTCCTCCCGCTGCTCAGTTGTGGAGGCAGAGATCTGGACGCTGCTGTCACTCTTGCCCTGGATGTGGCCAGGTTTCCTGCTCAGCAAAGAGGAAACGCAGATCAGTGACACGTCAATCTTCCATCTGAAGCATGAATGAATAAAACAATATGGTAGTGTAGTGGTCTGGGCTCGCAACCCAAAGAATGCATGTTTGAACCCTGGAGGAGATCGGACCGGACTAGGATTACAAAGACTGCGATCTTGATCAAGACTGCTCTACCCTCAACCAAAGTGTCTGCAAAAATAACACAGTTATCAAACTGTTATTGCTTTCATAATCATATTTTTTCTCCTGATGACTGGTGAATAATACCAAAATTGCTAATTTTTCAATAACAGTAAAGGCCCCGATATACTCACGGCCAAGTTCTTTCTTATGCCTTTCTCTCAATAACAAAATAAACACACAACTAAAATAACAGCAATGAGAAAACAGTAGTTAAGAAAGAAACTGATCATATCGATGTGGATTTGTTTGCACAAGCTCTGCAATTTGGCACTCCAGTACAGTCATGTCACGTTTATTGATATAGCACTTTATACAATAGATTGTTTAAAAGCAAGCAACTTTACAAGCCATGTTTCCATCCACTTGTCAATCGAATTATCTGAAGTTCGGTGAAAAAACTCATGCGAATAAAGCTAGTGAAAGTGTGTTTCCATCAAACGGCTTTAAAGCGGATAAAAACCTGTGCGTAATGACGTCACATGCTGTTTTGCGATCAAATTGGTATATCGAATTGATTTGAGACATGTTAAGGTGTTTCCATTCATTTTCTCACCGAATCGCACAACATTCAAGCCAACATTTGCGAACAAAGTTTTGCTGGGCAAAATGGATCGGCCCATAATAACGTTTCCATCCGCGTTTATCGCATAAGCCGTATATCGATCAAGATAAAATCCGATGAGACCGATCGTATTTCATTTGAGTCGATATTCATGAAATTCAATCGAATTTTACTGTTTCCATAAGGCATTTTTCATTCGATATCACTTAATGCGGATAAAAACGTGTGGATGGAAACATAGCTACAGACTTAAACATAAAAAAAGAGTGTCAGTAGCCAAGTTTCCATCCACTTGACAATCGAATTATCTGAAGTTCGGTAAAAAAAACTCATGCGAATAAAGCTGGTGAAAGTGTGTTTCCATCCAACGGCTTGCGATCAAATTGGTATACCGAATTGATTTGAGACATTTTAAGGTGTTTCCATTCATTTTCGCACTGAATCGCACAACATTTGCGAACAAAGTTTTGCTAGACAAAATGGATCACGCCATCTACCAACAAATGATCAATATTGAACAAGTTGTAGCCTAATAGTGCTTATGCCAGCTGATAGTGATATAAGGGATAATGTATTGTTAGCCTGTATTCGCTATAACAACCGCCTTGCTATACATTATCCCGCATATTACATGCCTACCTACCAAATAAATCAATAATTTGACACAAAATATTGATTTAAAAAGGAGTTTATTGATTTATAAACCATTGTATTGCTTCCGCTAAAGAAAATAGCCCGTTCCGTCTCTGAACTGCGTCCATGGCAACGCTCTGTTTTTCATGGCAACGGTGTGTTAGCAGCGGTGTGTTATCAAGAAATAACAGACCGCATTCTACATTAGAATTCAACCAAGCCATGTAATAACAAGCTATAATAAGAAAACAACGACGCTATCAACACATTGCTATGATGATGCAGATGCACGTAAATGTCCGACGACAACGGAGGCGGCCTGTGGTGTGGGAACGACAGCGCTCCAAACAGTTCTGGGAGATCGTGGTTCAGAGACACTTTACGGAAACCCTTTGGTTGAAGCATTTTTTTTGCTTTGTGCACTTACATCTGTCTTTGCTGACACCCGCCATGTGTGCGCAAACAGAGTGGAAATACTGGGCGGGAATGAACTAAAACTTCTTCTTCTAGATGTTTGTGGCGTGTTGCAACCATAAAATGACCTAAAACTTACTCGCAATTCATTATTTATTCGGCAAATAGCGTTTCCATCAGCGTTTATCGCATAAGCCGTATATCGATCAAGATAAAATCCGATGAGAACGTATTTCATTTGAGTCGATATTCATGAAATTCAATCAAATTTTACTGTTTCCATAAGGCATTTTTCATTCGATATCCCTTAATTTGGATAAAAGCGTGTGGATGGAAACATAGCTAGTGTCTCTTTCAGAATTACAACAACATTTTCTACTATAAAGCAGCTCTCCAGTGTGTTCATGCTTTTTCTAATGGACATCCGACATGGAGAGACTGAACAGAAGACATGAACCAGCGAAGATTTCCACATCAAAGAAGGCGGAGCTTCAGAGAACACCTATTACCTAATAGCCACTGTCGACCAATGCTAGTTCGAAGGTGTTTAGCAGTTCCTGAAACGAACACAAAACAAACTTTTTTTGTTTGAAACGACGTCACACCAGTTTGTTCTTCGATTTCGCTTGAAGTAAATCGGGGCCTTAACCTGTATGGCTGTGGTCCCGACAGTGTGCCCTTTTGAAAAAGAAGAGCACTTAATTGTATTGAATTTTAGTGTACTTGAAAAAACGTAAGTATATTTAAATGAGTACTTGCAGATTGTCACGTGTGTGGCTGTAGTAAACGCACAATGCAGGAGATACAGAGAAATAAACAGTCTTTAATAATAAATCCAGAAACGAAGGAGAACACAACCACATTAAAACCATAAACAATACCACAAAAAGACCTAAGGAAACTAAATACAGGGAGAGTTAATTAACCAGAACAGAAACAGGTGCGCGATTAATCAGAAACTAAAGACCAATGATCACAGGCAAAATGGGAGCATGGAAAACGAAACCAAAACATGATGAAACTAAACAGACATTCTTTAACGGTTTGCCTGGAAACAAAGATGCCCTGACGCCAAACCCCCTCATGGAAGAAGAAAGCCGTCGTGTTTACAACTGTGACAATAAGAGCTTTTCAGGATCAAGTAAACGCTGGATTTTCAAAAGTATGTCAAGTATGTCAAGTTAGTGGCATGGAGTCTTTAAAATACGTCCAAGAGTTATTGTAAGGACATTGACGTTATATGTTCATGACCCTAAACATGACGTGGAACAAAACGAACTGTGATTGGTTGCTTTAAATGTCAGTCAGATGGCCTCTGGGCGGCCCTTGGCCAATGAAAGCTGCTATGGAGTCCAGACCTTCTGCCATGAGTCTGAAGGTCTGGCTACGCAAGACTAATATATTTTAAATGTGCTTCATTCCAAATGTGTTTAAAATACATAACATACAAGTTTCATTTTAGTTTAGTTTCATACACTGTTGGTTCGTTGGCCAGAGGAGAACTGCCCCCCTCCTCCCCCCCGACTGAGTCTGGTTTCTCCCAAGGTTTTTTTTTTCTCCATTCTGTCACCTGATGGAGTTTTGGTTCCTTGGCACCGTCACCTTTGGCTTGCTTAGTTGGGGACACTTATTCAACAATATTATTGATCTGCCTGCATTGACACCATTATATGAGAACTGAACTGAGCTGGATGATGACATCACTGTTTTCTCCAGAGTGGCTGTATAGATAAATGAACTACTCTATAGTTACTCTCTAACTACTAATAATTACTCTTTTAAAAGAATGTGAAATTATACTTTTTCACAAGGATAGCTTCTTGTAATAAACACATCTTGACAATATAAAATAATATTAATAAAATGACAAATGACTTAAACACAGTCATACTCTTTCATTAGTATAATGGGTCGTTCTAATAAAGCTGCAGCCTTCAAAAAACAACACAAGAGTCTTTGCCTTTCTGGACCTGCAAAGTGCGACCACATTGTAGACCTGCAATAACCTTCATTTACCCTGTAATTTAACATCATCATTAGTGTTTAAAAATAAATAAATAAATACAAAGTTCTGTCATGAAACTCTAGATAGCGCAGGCTGATAGTTCCTTAACTCAATCCCTTAGTGATCACATTGTTATCTACAAAGCACAGCTGATTGGTTGCTGTTGCATCAGTAGCCAATGAGCTTTCTGCTCAACATTCAAATACTTGGCATTGTTTGCTGTTAGCAGTCTGCAGGGCGCTTTCAGAAACCCTCCACCTTCCCCAGCTCCACCTGTATAGATCTGCTATGGAGGTTATTTAATGTATGTTATAAGTGAAGCAGCAGAATTGACAGTAGATGTCTGTACTTGCTCTGCAGCAGCAATAATAAATAGATACATTAACATTATCCATCACCATGCCAATCTCTCAGAGAGTTCTCATGACAGAAATAAATGTAAAAAATACTCCTTTAAGTGCACCTTTAACAGACAGCCTCAAAGGAGCTGTGTCGACCTTGTGACCTATGCACAGTCTAATATCCAAGTGCTGAAAGTATTCAGGATCAGAGTGAGGCATCACTGTCTATCATCTCTCCTCCCTATGGTTAATACACTCTCTTTCTGCTTCCTCTTAAACACGCACACACACGTCTTTGGGATATGAAACCCCACTGTTGCATATGCAGCACCGTCTGAGCTTTTCAAAAGTTTCTGCACAAGATGTCCAAATGTTTTCCCTGGCTGGGTCTTCAGAGACTAAACTCTGATTAATGGTACTGAAGGAGCCTTTGAAGCCGGATTGGTGACATCAAAGTGCTAATCCATGGGTGGCAGGAGTTTTATAATGAGTGGGAAGCATTTTAGCACGTTTCAAAGGCTCCGGCGCATGAATAAACAATGGCAGCGCAGATGTGCCACACACCTTTAGAAAAATACCCACCGCAGAAACAGCGAGCGGATCGCAACTGTAGCTGCAGCGCTTTAGTGTGTGTGTGTGAAGTCTGAAGGAATCTAGGGAAATGAAACATCTGTTGTTCTTGTAGTCTGCGCCCCAGTAATACAGCAGATGACAGATTAGAAAGGGTCACAGGCTGAAACAAACAAACAATAAGTCAAGAAAACAATTATCGTTTTTCTTCCCGTCGCCACACTTGTTTCGTAATGACCGCCTCGTGTGAATGAGCACGCATGGTTCCCTGCGTTCAGAG